ATCTCCCGTATGAAGATAGGCTGAGCAAGTTGGGGCTGTTCAGCCTGGAGAAGAGAAGGCTGTGTGAACACCTCATAGCAGCCTTCCAGTATCTGAAGGGGGCCTATAGGGATGCTGGGGAGGGACTCTTCATTAGAGACTGTAGTGATAGGACAAGGGGTAACAGGTTAAAACTTAAACAGGGGAAGTTTAGATTGGATATAAGGAGGAAATTCTTTCCTGTTAGGGTGGTGAGGCACTGGAATGGGTTGCCCAGGGAGGTTGTGAATTCTCCATCCCTGGCAGTGTTCAAGACCAGGTTGGACGAGGCCTTGGGTGATATGGTTTAGCGTAAGGTGTCCCTGCCCACGGCAGGGGGGTTGGAACTAGATGATCTTAAGGTCCTTTCCAACCTTAATTATTCTATGATTCTATGACTCTTCATTAGGGACTGTAGTGATAGGACAAGGGGTAACAGGTTAGAACTTAAACAGGGGAAGTTTAGATTGGATAAAAGGAAAAAGCTCTTTACTGTTAGGGTGGTGAGACACTGGAATGGGTAGCACAAGGAAGTTGTGAATGCTCCATCCCTGGCGGTGTTCAAGGCCAGGTTGGACAGAGCCATGGGTGATATGGTTTAGTGTGAGATGTCCCTGCCCATGGCAGGGAGGTTGGAACTTGGTGATCTTAAGGTCCTTTCCAACCCTAACTATTCTATGATTCTATGAAAGCCACTTGTGGGATTGCTTTTGCTCAGGACCCGGATATGCTTGGTGGGTAATGCGGGAAGATGGGGAAGTCCGATGCTTACCTCAAGGGGATTTGATTTTAGGGGAAAACAGCCAATGAACTCAATTGTATGCTGTTGCCTGCTATGTAGCACTTTTATAGCCCGCCAACTAGATGTCTTCAGGTCACCAGTGACTGGCCCTGACTTCCCTCTGACCATCATTCCAACAAAGAATGAACTTGACAAAACCAGACGAGCTCCGCAGTGATTGGACGAGTTCCGTGGTGCCATCAGCAGGCAGCAGTCCAACACTGCACACTCTATCTCCTGCTCTGAAAGAGTGTCACAAGAGATGGAGCCTGACATCATGGACCGGATGAACTCAGCAGCTCTTTATGTGTGTGTGTATGTGTGTATATATAAGAGTGATGGTATATTGAAAAATGTGGGATCTGAGCATGATGTGAATGGTATGGAATAAGGGGTGGATACTGTTCTGGGTTCAGCAATAGCAGTCATTTTTCTCCTTCTTAGTAGCTGGTGCAATGCTCTGTTTTTGACTTTCAGCATGGGAACAACGCTGATAACAGCAATGTTTTTAGCTGTTGCTCAGTAATGTTTACTCTGACCAAGGACTTTCTGAGTCTCATACTCTGCCAGGGAGGAGGGGAAGCCAGGAGGACGCTTGACTCAAACTAGCCAAAAGCGTATTCCATACCACAGCACGTCATGCCCAGTATATAAACTGGGGAGAGTTACCTAGAAGGGCTAGATCACTGCTCAGGTCGGGCTGGGTATCAGTCAGCGGGTGGTGAGTGGTTGTATTCTCTTCCCTTGTTATTTCCCTTATCATTATTATTATTGGTCGTAGCAGCAGTGGTTTGTGTTATACCTTAGTTACCAGACTGGAGTAACCCGTGGGAGTTGGATTCTTTTGATTCTCCTCCCCATCCCTCTGGGAGCAGGGGAGGAAGAAGGGAGGGAGGGAGCAAGCGGGTGTGTGGTTCTGAATTACTGGCTGGACTTAAACCAGAACACTCTCATTAACTCTACATTTGACATTTTTAATATAAATGTATTTTTTTACCTTGATCTTTAGCTAATCTTTTAGAACACCACAGCGACCCCATTTTTCCTTACTTTCTTCTCCTGGGAAATTACACACAGCAATATCTAATTATTCTCATGGGTTTTAGGATTATTCAGCATTGTCAGTTCTTTTTTTGCTTGGATGTTAATGTTAGGTTTTGACTATCCTCTACTTACAAAGGTGTTAGATCAGTCCTTTATGTCTGATCATAAGATCTGATCAGTCTTCTTTTTTGCAGTGATGAAATTTGTTGTTTTCTCTCATTCAATTTAAATCATACTCCAAGAAGCTACACTTTTCTCCCCATTGCTGGGGGGTTTTGTTGGTGGTTTTGGAGGGGGAGGCTGTTTACTTCTGGGGGATTTTGTTTTTTAATTGGAGGGAGTTTGCTCTTGTTTCTCTTAAAATAATATTATTTGGAATTTTCTTTTATGGCAGGATGCATCATTTTGGGGATTTGCAAAAAGGCATTGATTGAATGAATCTGTGATTATTTTACTGGTTTAGAGCAGAAAGAGCCATTTAACAACTCCTCCATTTAAGAAGCTAAGTGACCAAGATGTCCCTACGTTATCTGTTTTGTGTGTGTTTGTTCTGAATGCCTGTATGAGGGCTGATTGTTTCAGATCTGTAAATAGCATTTTAAAATTTCACAGAAGGTAACCAGCTACTTCCACAAGAAAATGCGTTTTGCTGGTTTCGTGAAAACCTGCCTGTATTTGGTACAAACACAGAACTCCAAAATACGTAGTTTTCCTTTTTCTGTTGGATCTTGGTTGCTAAAATCACAGAAGCTGCATTGTGCAAAAACCATGTCTGTTGTGGTACTGCATGGGCCCTGCCATGTGGACCGCAGAACAGATACCATGGCACGATGCCATAGCTCTGGGCTAAGAAGTCCTTCCTCTGCAGCAATCTTGGCCTAAGAAATTAAAAATCTGGGCACCAGAACCATCAATAGATCTATTCCATGCTGTCCATGCTCTCTTGCCTGGGAAATAAGGAGAAGGAGGAGGCAGCCTATGAAGAGATGAATCACAGTGGAATTAGGGAATGGGGGGAAATAAAAGGAAACTAATATGCGTGAGTTTTTGTGGGAATTGTTTGTGCATGTGCATATGCATCCATACCTAGAAACACATGCATATTTTTTTGTATATGTATGAAGAGGGATGGGACAGGGGGTGGAAGCAGAGGAACATGTATAAGGCCAGAGTCTGCCCAAGACTTTTAACCGTGCAAGCAAAATTGAGGAAGGGTCAGTCTATCTCTTCAGGAACATATGGCAAGTACAGCATCCAAGAAGTGCAAACAGACTTAGCACAAGGTTTTCTGACACAATCTTTTTCTTGACACAGTTCTCTATTTTCAGGTGCTTATTAAGAGAGCTGTGCACAGTTACAGCAATTAGCAGATATACCCTACACTTATTTTTCTCACCTCAGTTCCAGTTCTAGCCTGCAGCATCCTTTCAGAGCCCTAGGAACTACAGCTTTTCGTCAGAACACTTGCTGCCTCTGACACTGATGAGTCCCTCCAATAAAACACAAATCTCCCCTTGAAAGAAATTCTGTCAGTTCCTCTCTCTTTCATTCTAGTGACTCCATGATGTCCACAGTCTTTCCAGCTTTTTTCTCTTCTGATTCTCTATCTGCTTGTTTGGTCTTGTCATTATTATGTATCTCTCCTGTTTGGGAGTCTTCCATTTTCATATTCTTGTGGACAGTAAAACCACACATCTCTCATTTTTTAACAGCAGTGCCATTCACCAGAATCTTCTATCTGTACATGAATAAGCACATCTCATCTACTAATACGCAAACAGGCATCTTTCATTCTGCAGTAGCTAGTCATTGAAAATTTACTTTACAATTGATGTAGTGTTTGAGCATCAATATTTTGGAAATGATCACACTTTTTGTCTAGCATATTGAATACATTTTGTTAATTTTCGTTTAAAAGGAGCTGAACCTCTTTTTCTTTAGAATGAGCAATGCTCAAATAATGGCATTTTTGTCTGTCTCATTTCTAGCACTGAGGAGAATGCTCCATCATCTTCTGTATTACAGATTCTTGTGGATTTTCTCCAGCAGCCACTTATGACAACTGCAAGCTTGTTTTACCCTGGCGATATATATGTATGTGGCCAGTTACTTCAGGTCATTTTCCTGCCAAATGGAAGTCAGTTTGACAGCTGTTAATTTCCACTTGGCCAGTCCATGTGTTGTTTTGCTTTAATTATTGGTCACTATATAGAACAGGTGACAGATGACTACATGAGAACCCTTTACCTCACTAAATGTACAATCATTAGGAAAACAAACAGACAGGGCTGTTGAATATATTAATTTTCTGCCCAGACCCAAACAGAAACAGATTTTAGCTGGGTTTGACATCTATCAGAAAGGGATGGAAAGACGTGACAACACCTTACTGTTCATGAAACCAGCATCCCATGCTGTAAGTGTCCTAGTTTCACAGAAAGAGTGGAGTTTAAGGAACACAAGATTGTTCTAAGACCAGATACAGAATCTGGTTTAGCTAATGGTTTTGTTGCAAGGTTTGGTTAGGTGTTCTTTACTAAGTAAAACTAAATGTGCCTACCATAATATTTCCTCTGACCTTCAGCTCCTAGAACTACGTCAAATTAAAGTAGGAAAAAAAATTGCTTTCTGAGCAATAAAGTACTCGCTGAACAAGAATGGCAGAACACCACGATAGTGAGCTTCCCTTCTATTGAAGTGTGGCGTTGCAGAGAATGTTTAATTGAAGTCTGTTTTCTCAGACTCCAGGGGCCTAACTTGGATCCTAATTTGGGCCAGATTCTCTAAGGACATGAGCTGAAGTCTTGTTTTGTTCCTGGGAGTAGTAACTCTTGAATTTCTGCAACATTATAGATCTATCTGTAGTGAAAATTATGAATAATTCAGTTGATTTCAGTAGAGCTGTGTTAGTGAAAATAAGAAAAGATTCAGCATCTTGGAGTCTTGGTGAAATTACTGCTTTTAGATCTGTGAGAGCTGAAGATATTATAACATGCTATTTGAGTGATGTCTTGTAAACCATGCTAAAACAATAATACAGACACAACACACAGAAATAGAATAGTTCCAATGGCTTACTAAGACTTAACCTAAATGTAAACTCACCTTTAAATAATATCAATTTTTTTTTTTTTTTATTTTTGCCTTTTAAAAATAGGTGTAAGTGCAACCTTCATGCTACTGGCTGTAAAGAAGAAAACAAAAGACTACTTTGCGAATGTGAGCATAACACAACTGGCCCAGACTGTGGAAAATGCAAGAAGAATTATCAGGGCCGACCATGGAGTCCTGGTTCTTACCTGCCTATACCTAAGGGCACTGCTAATATCTGTAAGTAGTTCTATATAACAAGGTTATTTCATCATTAGAATTCTGCCCCATGTTATGACTCTGAAGGAAGATTAATACTGGCAAAAGTTTGTCATGTCTGTATGACTCAGTGCATATAACTGGACAAGGTGTCAAATTGTTTTAAGTGTCTACATATTGTCTGCAAATTATGTTGTCATAGTGTACATATCTATGCACTCACATAGTTGTAAATAAATTGCGTGAGAACTGCATATTTGTATCCACAGACAAATCCTGTGACAGTGCACAGAAAGGGCTAACGAATGGAAGAATTAGGCCCTTCACATAAATATTATATACAGAGGAGAGAAATGCATGGGAATATCTGCAATACTGCTCCAGCCACAGTGCCCACCTCCATTCATACGTCCTTCCTGACTCGAGTGTCAAAACAGCCTCAGCTCAACATGTGAGATGAGGCCCTTGCTCATTTTTTTTGCCCATTTAAGGAAGTTAAGTATTCTCAGAACAAGTTTTTTCAACTAATAGCTAAAGATCTAGTGGCTGGTAAAGGAAATTTTTACCTGATGTTGACTTGCAGTCCAGATTCACATGCATTCTTTTAAACCATTCTGTTGAAGGGGGAAGGGGAGCTCAAGCCCAGAGTTTTTGTATCTGCTTGTTTCCAGCTAATAACCATTCAACAACACGTGTGCACACTACTTCAGCACACATATTACCCAAAGGAAGTTATTGACAGATGCATTTCCTGGTCCTGGACAGGATTGGGTTGAAAAGAACAAGCTGCTGAAAGAGAGGTCACAAAGACAAGTACAAGCACCAGTTCTTCCTTTCATGCATGTATGAAATACACAATAGTTTAGAATGCTTCTGAATAGCAGACTTAAATTCCTTTGAAGAAAGGCTTGAAGATGAAAATAAATCACCAAATCTTTTAACAGAAGTTACTAGCTTAAGAATAGTCCACAGTTTTGTCCTGATTAAAAGCAAAACATTCATTTTAAAAGATTAGTATATAACAATTTACTGAAAAGTTATTTGGGAGAAACAGAGATATGTACTGCAATTGAATGAAAAGTTTAATACCAGGAGCAATGTGCAATGCTCAGAATGTTATCTAAGACTTCAAAGCAGCCGCTGTGAGGAATCAAAACTCAGAAATTAATATCATAGGAAGCAGGACCTTATCTAGTTACATGTGAGAGTAGTAGACCAAGTAACAAACCATGAAGTGTGGGAGCATGAAATTATGATAAAAATTTTACTGAGCAGAAAAAAAATGAACTTCCAAAAAGCGGGGGAAAAACATTTTGTAAGAGTATTCACTTTCTCACATGTTATAAAAAGTGAGTGTGGATCACAGAATAAATACTTTAAAGCTATGTTCAGAAAAAGTGATGAGATTTACCAAGTTGGTTTTATTCATATATTTTATATATACATATACACACATACATACATATGTATGCACACATATATATTTCTTTCTACGTATATATATGTGTGTATGTGTATATATATAAATATATCAAATTCAGTTGCTACCCCAGCAATCATCTAAACTAGTGGCAAGATACATCTGAACATCAGGGATCTGTCTAAATGCAGCTTGCTCTGTCAGTTACATCATTTCCAATCAGTTGAACACACACCAGACAGAACTGTGGAATTAGCACCCACCAAAAGGATGCCTGAAGCTTGTTAAAACAAATTTCAACTTTATTGAATTCCATCAGATGTACAACTCCATCAATAATCAAAACTTTTTGCAACTAATAGGCAGTCTTCCCGAGGTTTTACTATTATTATGATATCATCACGAAAATGTAAACGTGTTTGAGCTGATGAATACTCCACACACCCTCAAATCCTGACTTCAGCAGTGATCAGCAGCAGGAATTCATGTCAAACAGGAAGAAGTATAAAGGTTTTCTTCTTTGCCATCCCAATTGCCGGCAATAAAATGTCTTTTTGAGCTGGATCCTCCAACTTAGTCACACACATCTTATTGTTTACTAGCTGCCGAGCAGAGACCCAACTGTCATAAGCTTTAACTCAGTGACATTTTATGGCAATACATTTCACATTTTAAAGACACAGTGAGTGAAAGGTATTTCCTTTTGTTTGCTTTAAATGTTTTTATATCATTAAGCCTATATCTCCTTAGATAGGGAGAAACAGAGTAATGTATCCCTATTTATGTCCGTTATACTGTTTATGATTATACAGACTTGCAATGCCCACTCCTCCAGCCTGTTTTCTGAATGATGACTCCTAATCTATTTAATCTAAGCATGTATGAAACCATGCCACATCTCTGGTCATCTGTGATGGTTCTCTAATGTCATTTTTTAATTTGGTGAGGCTAAAACTACACAATATTCTAGAAATAAGAACAACATGAATTTTTTACAATTCAGTATAATTGAATTTTTTACAATACATAAAAATGTCCGTTTTCTATTTTGTTATTACAGTCATCAGCTCTTGAGTCCTTTTTAAATACGGTGCCACAATTGCAACACTTCTTCTGGCACTGAGGCTGACAAAAATGATAGGTTATAGGTTACAATAGTTAGTTTAGAATGTCATATTTTTGTTCCTTTAAAACACTTCCTGGGTGAACATCACCTATGGCAATTCTTATAGTTTGGTATTATTTACATCTACTAAAATACCTTTAGATTATGATAAACAGTGAGAAACGCCCTCAGATTGTGAGAATCTCTCTAACATTCTTTGTTGTGAACATCAGTGAAAACGATTAATTTAGTATTCAGTACTCCAATAACTTGATTGCCTTTCTACCCAGTCATCTCTCTGAGAGGCCTCCTGCTTCTTGACTGGCTATTTTAACAAAAAGGTATAATTAACTTTTAAATCTGTAGCAAGTTGATTCTCAAAAGACTGTGTTTTACATTTAACTTGACAGATTTTATGGGGGTTTTTTCTCCCTATCTTTCTTCACTGAGATACTGAGATGACTTAACACTTTCCAAAATCTTCATTCTGGTGTTTTGGATTGGGCGTTGGTTTTGTATGACTGGGGTTTTTTTCTTTTTTTTGATTTAGTTTTTTTCTGTTGGTTGGTTGGTGTTTTGTTATTGTTGTTCATAAGATAGTTGATTTTTATAATTTAAAAAAAAAAAAAGATGGGTTATATGTTATGATTCTCACTCTTTCATACATTTTGTCTGCCTCCATGCTGTTGCCATTAAATCTTTTTAACTATTCTTTTTTTCTTTTAACTAAGTCATTTTTATCTGCTCATTCTCTGAAAGGTAAATATTACTACAGTGGATTTTTTCATCCTGTTCCTTCTGGACAACTATGTTGACTTTCAGTCCAGAAGTAGTTCTCTACTAACTACTTCTTGAATCAGGTCCTACATACTAGTCAGAACTAAATTAGGTTCTCTTCTTGTGGGCTGTCTGATTGCTTGCTAGCAGCAGCAGTCATTTATGGTATGTAAAAGCTTCATTTCTTTTGTCATTTCCTGATCTAGTGCTGCATATGTTGGAGAATATGAATTTTTGCATTATTATATAAACTCTACACATCCAATGTAATTTCACTTACCCTGCTGTGTTTACGTCACCATCTCTACCGTGTGGTTAGCAATGCAGCATTATACTCTCCCTAGTCAGGAGTGAATTCTGTAAATAGCTGCTGGAACTTGTTGATAGAATTGGCTTCTCTGTTTTGACCCTAAATTTCCCTTGGTATATTACTTAATTCCCTGGGGATGTTTTGTATAATATAGTGTCCCTTTGATACTCTTCTTTCATCCAATTTTCAGTCTGTCTTTTCCACAGGAGACCAAAATATTTAAATTTTAAAGGGATTTGAAGTTTGGGGTTTTTTTTATATATGAGTGTGCTTAAAAAAGATATAGCTAAAAATAGTTGTATAAATGAAACACTTGGAAGGTTTTTGGAGGTTTGGTTGGTTTATCTTTCCCAACTGGAACTTACGTTGTTTCCATTGTTCTGCTTCTACCTTTTTTTTTTTTGGCCTATAAGACTTTATTACACCATTTCAAGCTACAGATCATGAAATACCATTCTAGATTATACTTCAAGCGCAGCCTAAACCTTGATATAAAACTGGTTTTTGTATCCTTCTCATTTTAAGTCAACTCTCCTGAGTTTTTCAGGAGAACACAAAACATTTTTGCTTTGCTTTGCTTGTGAAAGACACCTAGTACTCTGTTGTTTACTGGTACTAAAAATATATCCACATTTGTCTACTGCATAGCGTTTATTTTATATTTCCACTCTATCTTATTGACTATTTTGTGATGACATTTCTTCCCTTGTGCTGCCACATTCCATGGATAGTTTTTTTCTGCAATATGTTTTGACACTCAAAGTGAACTTATTGAATTTCTCTATACTTGGTATTACAAGACAGCTTTTCTCCTCAGCAGTCATATGTGTCTGAAAGCACTAGCCCTTTTCTTCCTCCTGTTGTTTAGATCATCTTTGACACTTATGTTCTTTTCTCCATCAGACAGAGTTGTCTAAGACTGTGCTGGGCTTCCATCCATCAAAGCCTGCTAGCTTTTTGTTTGTCCCTCTACAACCAATAACCTGTATGAGAACTGCTTGACACTCAGTGAAAACCTCCTCCTAGCTGTTACATGGCTTTTCTAATTCATAGTTCAACGCAACACAAAGAATTGAGCAGGACACAGGGAACATTGGTAGTTCTTTTCAGTCAACAGTTAGGCAGATAGTCCCAATCAGTTCACTGAATTTCTCCTGCAGGGGGTCGTGTCCCCCTGCGCATCTCCGCCCCCCACATCTGAAAGTAGAGTCTTTGTCTTAGCCACACAGCCTTAATCCTCCCTGGATGGGAAAAGACTTACAAGGCATCACTGCAACATACCTGCCACGTAAACAGCTTCTGACAAAAAAAGTATGGCACTTGAAGTATTGCACTGATTGCCCTCATCCATGTTTGTAGTTTCCCCCATGAATATTTGCTAACAAAAAGCCATCTTGAAGGACCTGTGT